CGAAATCAAAAGAAAGATGAGTACATGCAGCCATGCAGGCAGATAAACTGACGGTCTTAGAATGAAAAAATTGAAAAGTATTTCACACGGAACTTAAGTGGAGTGGAATAGATGGATGCATTTATTTAATAAGTGTTCTAATTAAAGTGAGGAAAAAGATAACAGTTGTCACTTCGTGGCAGCAAGCATATTTTGCCTTCGCAATACAATGAAACTTCACTTTTGGTAAAGGCAGACAAGAATCCACCAAAGGTGACAAAGTATAATGAAAGGATGACTATAGAATCACAAACCACTTACTTCTATCGTTACAAATTCCCAGTTACACCAAGGAATTTTGAAGGTTGAACTCTCGATTTATGGTTAGAGAAGAAAGCAATTTTTAACACTGCTAAATTAAAACCAGAGTAGCCCATTGCTGGTGGTGAATAAGACGCAGCGGGTAAATTCAAGAATAAAAATGACAAAAGTATAAGAGGGAGGATGCATGCAGGAGTGCCTGTATGTCATAAAAATACTTAATGAAGATAAATTTTGCCTTCTTCAGGATATTCTAAAGTCAATAATCCTAAGTGTTATGCAACACAATATCAATGGACAAGGATGAATTTCTGATTAAACAAACCCAAATTTGAATTTAAACTGTGGCCCACTAAACCATAGAATAAATCAAAATATCTTTGCCTAAAAATATAAGTAAATCAAGCAAATGTGTATGGAACTAGTAGATGGATATAAGGTTTATAAGTAGCCTTAATCTAAATAAAGTGTAATAAAGCAGAGGATGACCTGTGTCTGTTGTGCCTGAAGAAACATCGGGCCGGCAGTACTTAGACCGGAGGCAGCTGCTGGCCCCGCAGGAGCCTGCATCACGAAACGACCATCGGGCAACTGAATGAGGCAGCCGGCCGTATGAGTGGCAGCAGTTGTAGTCGTTGTCTGCATTTGTTGGGAATGATCTGACATCGACACTAGACTCTGACAAGCAGAAGGCTGACCATTGGGCA